GTTTTTGTTCTTTTCATCAGCCATAATAAAAGGCTCGTTTTGTTGGAATCCACTGCTGCATCCTCGTTTGTGTTCGCACCTGGGTCCACCACACACCTTTCCGCACGGTCTGCCTCCGCAGACCTTGACATGATCCATCTCCTCTTTGGTCTGAAGGATGCATTCTCCATGTTTTTCAAAAAGAATTTCAGATTTTGATTTGTCTGACTACAGAATGGTTTTCTGGTTTGTCAGTCTATTTAGTCCATTTTAAATGAATTTGGTCCAGAAGATGATGCTCATATATGGGGGCTTCTTTATATGACAACATTTTAATCTGCACAACAGACGGTCTTCACAGACAATCATTTCTGAAAGCACTCCCGAACCCCTATCAGTTTTCCATTACAGAATCAGTTTTTGTTTGGTTTTTATAGGCCTGAATATCACAAGCATTCAATATAGATTTTTGGTCTTGTTCCTTGTATACAGAGATTTCTCGAGATTTCTAGACTCTTCTGATGTTATTATGTACTGTAGATGACAAGATACTGTATTTCAAGTCATTTTATGTCCTGCAACAAAAGGTTTCCATGAAATCATCAATTTGTAGTCATAGTGTTTTTGCAGACTGGTGAACCTCTTCCCAACATTGCTTTATTTTTTATATTATTTATATTTTATATTTTTTAAAAGTCATGTTGCAGACCTGTGGCTAGTTTGTCAAGCTATTACTTTTTAGTACCACTTACATTTTTAGCCTTTCGTTGTCCCCACCCAAATCTTTTGAGATGTGTTGCTTATATTAAATTTAAAATAAGCTAATATTTTCTTAAAATGGTACATTTCCTAAGTTCAGACATTTCATAGGTTTTCTATTTTGAAGCATATCCCGTCTGTCATAGGTCAGGAGATGGCCTATAGTCCTTTTAAGATTACAGCTAGGTTTGTTTAAGCTAAGATTTTTTTTTCTCATCCTGTTCCTTTTGGAAACTTGCAGGAAGGAACACTGTTGAAAAAAAATGGAGCATAAACTCTTCATATCAAACCAAGTTTTGTGTTCACATCCACATTTTCACTACATGCAAGAAATCCATCTTCTCCATTTATTTCAATGTAGTTTCCAGCAACAGCTAGCAGCAAAACAGTTAAAGGTTTCAAAGGTTTACAGCAATGCATAGCTAAGTCATGCTGCAGCTCACATGCACACACTGCTTCTATATTATTTTATAACTTGAACAAGCAAACCCAGCTGTTTACCTCATGTTTGTTTCGACAAAATTCTGAGAAGTCCTCCTTTTTGGAATCTGATAACCCGCTGTTGGAATCTCATGTATTTTGCAGTATTTTTTGTGACCTTTCCTAAATCATTATCAGATATTGATATACTACATATTGATACCTTTAAACCAACCCAAAATGTTGCTTACAGGACAAAAAGTCTGAGATTCAACTCTTGCTTGTGTGAGACGTTATCCAAACATTCTGGAAAAAGGGCCATGGAAAAAAGTGAGAAACAAGATCAGGAGAATCCTTGTCCTTTTTTGTGACATGTACTGTGCACTATAAATTTATGACAATGTAAACGTGGAGTTCTACTGGAATGTGCTGAGACACTGGATGGAGAAGGAGAACACAAAAAATAGCAGCCGCAAGTGAGTCCATCTGGATAAGGGTGAAAAGAATAGGGTAAGAATTTTCATTCCTAAGAACTTTTTGATGATTCCTCAAGCATAACATAATACTGTTAGAGTAGGCATCATTAGCCTCATTCTCCTCTCCTAGATCAATAAATTTATCCTGCTGACCTAGTACCTGCACTTTAAAAAGGTTGGAAGTTGATGGTGTCCACAAATGTTTTATGGCATCGGTGCACTGATCCTTCATCTTCTCTCTTCAGAGGCCCGAGAAGCTTAATTCTCCACTTCTGCTTCTTCTAACAAATGTGTTTCTGCCTCCACAGTTGTGTTTGTCGCATCAGTCTAGTAAACCACTCCAAGGACCTTCTTCATGTGCTCGTAGACCACATAGGAGATGCTGACAGCAGGAATAACTTTGAGGAAGTTGGGCGTGATGCCTCGGTACAGACCTGGCACACCTTCATGAGATATGATGTATTTGAACTGACCCACCATGGTCAGCTTGGGTTTACCCTCAGTAATGGCTGAAAGTAAAAATGAGAACAATGTAAGCTACAGAGAGTAATATATGGACAGACTTATTGCTAAATTGTTCCAATGTTTTGTAGGCCTACAACTGCCTACAATCTATCATTTACATCATATCGCACCCTGTGCCTGCATGCGAGTCCGGATGAGAGCGAGGGGATATGACGCTAGCTGGCCACAGGTGCTGGAGACAGTACCACAGCCCAGCAGGACCAAAACTCCTGGGTCTGCTGAGTTGACACAGTACCTCTGGAGCCAGGCATTCTTCAGGGTCTTAAAGCATGAGCAGTGAAAAATGTTAAGACACTAATAAAGGAGAGCAGTTAAAAGTTAAAAGAAAGAGGAAGAGAAAAAGGAAGGGGAAAGAAATGAACTGAAACGCATACACTGACAACCACTTTGTTAGATAGTCTGTTTAGCTGCTCAATAATGCAAATATGTAATCAGCCAAATATGTCAGGAACACATGGTCAAGATGACCTGTTGAAATTCAGGATGGGGCAGAATGGGGAATTAAGTACTGAATGTGGCATGGTTGTTAGTGCAAGATGGTATGGGGTGGGTTTCTTTAGAATCTACTGGGAGTTTTCTGCACAAAAATCTCTAGGGTTTACAGAGAAGTTAAGTGAGTAAGTGTTACTTCTCTGGGCAAAAATACAATCTGTCTGCCAGAAGTCAAACAAGAATGAGTAGATCAGAAGACAACAATAACTCAAATGACCACCTGTTATATCTACATTATGCGTGCGTGGGAGTACAGTGTTCAGGTGTGGAATCCAAATGCAAGTGGTGAGTATGAGAGATCAAATGGAAAATATTAGGAGCAGAAGGAGAACACAGGTTAGCAATGCATGGAAACAGCAAAACATAGACAACTGAGGCAGCCTGTACTAACAGAGGTTAGCAGAAGAACCGGGTAAGGACAGTTGACAATGCTGGCTTTAAATACCACTGGCTGATTGCTTCAAATCACGAACAGGTGCGGTGAGCTGATGAGGAATCTGCCAAGAGGCGGTGCCATAACCACACATGGCGAGACTCAGCTGGCCCATGAAAGGAACAAACATGCTAATGCTTCTGATCTGAAGTAACTCTTTATACACAGAGAGTGTACAGAAAGCAGTAGTCAAAGTCAAAGTCAACTTTATTTGTCAATTCTGCCACATGTACAGGACATACAGAGAATAGAAATTTCGTTACTCTCAAACCCTAGATGAAATAGCAATGAACATTTAAATATAAGAGAGTGATTAAAAAATGCAAATAAAATAATTAAAAAGTAAAAATTTAAATAAATACAATACAAATTAACAAGAAAGCTATACAATATACA